TTCTCGGTGAGATATACATCCATCCAGCCAGCAACCAAGCTTGTATCTTTTATCCTGTGTCATCCTGACCTGATGTCCTCATATGTTCTGATTACCTTTCAAAGACTTGCTAAATGTTACATTTGTAAGTTTTCAATGGTAGATTCTAGTAAAATACCACACATAACCAAGTATGTGTGAATATAACAGATAAAATGTAATAATCAAAGGAGAGGTTTAAGTATTTTATGACATTGTTATGTACATAACTATTTAAAAACTGGTGACATTTGGAAACAAAATATTTCTAATTTACGCAGACATCTTAATTATAACAGTAACTTGTAGCTGCTGGCTTCTGTCTTATAGCAAATCCTACAAATGCCAGGAAACTAAGTGTTAAAGCAAGGCTTGGGAGCTCCGATTCAGAGGTCGGTCCAACTACAACTACAGAACCAGCTATTAGAAGAAAAAAGGTATGTGTGTGAGGACAGATATTCAGACTTCCTCAGCTCATTGATTCTGAAACTTCAGGATGTATGTATTGGTCAGTGGTGACAAAAAGCCAGGTATGCTAGGCAGTCAAAACAGGTAATTATATGCCATTCATATCACAAAGCAAGCGGTATGCTGAAATAAGAGCTTTTAAGTAAGGAAATGCCAGAAAAACAAATGTACTGGACAATACACAATTTCTTACTGAATGACAATTTTATCACAGTGGAAAGTCATCTTTACTGTTGTGTATTGCAGTGTCTAATTTCAGTAGCATAATAATTCACAAATGGAAAAATAACTTTATGAAAATGTTGTATGTACTGAAACCAAATATACATGAATGATGCACTGAATTCAGTTTACTGTGGTTAAAACTGTTTTTGTAAGTTTTGTGGATTGACATTAAATGTTTTGTTACAGATTATTTATGTGAAAAAGAATGATGAGAAGGTCACAAGTGTCACTGGCAAGGCACGGATGCTGAGTTTAAATACTGCAACAATGAAGAGTGTTACATTTGGTGGTGTAACCAAAAAAACATTCATGCCAAGAGAGGCCATTACTAGTAGTACAAATCATAATAGAGTCAGGTTATCAAATAATGTTACTAGCAGCATTGGTGCCTCTGGAATATGCAAAGGACCTGGTTCTATCACCATGAAGACTGGTGTGTTCAGTCGTCTTGGGTCATCAAACTAAGAAGCACAAGAAAGATCTGACATAATGAATTACTGACAAACTGGAGAAAGAAGTATCACGGTGACAAGACAGCTGGATGGATGTAATGTGCTGTAATTTAATGTGTAACCATGTATGGTCTCTGCTGAATAGCTTATAAAGTCTTTTACATTATATGATGTAACATATAACTTATCTTCCATCTTTTCCATATACAGTACCAAATTCACTCTTTGAAATTTGAGGTTCTCACTGCAGTGCAGATGTGGATTGTGATTATTACTTCTTTGAATTTAGCTATTACATGATCTTGTATACCCATGGCATTAACAAATACAGAAACAATAATAAATTCCAATATTATTGTTCTTTGAAGTCTGTGAACCTTAATGGGGATCATGGGTACCTTGCCATCCTGAAGTTGTTTTTGATTGCTTAATTGCAATAACAAATAATTTTAAAAAAAGGGCAGACTTGTAATTACAGAAAGTAAGATCTGCATATGCTTCATTTACAGCTTTCCCATAGCAATAGTTTACCTAGACTAGCACATTGAGAAATGTTTCTCTGTTTTACAGCTACATTTTCAATTTGTAAATGCTGACTTTAGATTAATAAAATGTATATGAGAATAACCAGAATATCCTTTAACTATTAAAGAACATCCACAAATTTTAAGAAATAGACCAAAAAATATAACACTACACGAAGTTCACTCAATAAATTATTATAACTACATACTTATTATCTGTACAAAATAGGTAATGCACACAGAGTGGAATGATGGCTACAGAAGATGTGAAGTACTGAAGGTCACACTGACATATTAGATTCTACAAAACTGACTCTAACATGCTAACTTCAGTCCAGATTGTAAATTTTGCACAGCTTTCTTTAAAGAAACCATATTCTTAAGTTTGTTTTGAGTGTATAGTGCCAAACACATTTCCCAGAGAGCTGCAGACCCACTTCCAATCTTCAAAATTTCAGAGCTACAGTCTAGGATGACTCCATTACCTCTAACAAACAGATTGGATCATGTAACACCAAATAGGACTTGAAGTTCTTAGAGTGACAGGTGTAAAGAGGGCTATCTTCTGGGTTGTTATGCCATGTAGTATGGCAGAAGTTTACAATAGTTTCAGAGGCAGCAAGTACCTATGAAACATTAGGTCACTGACCAGACTACACAGCATAACTCAGAAAACAAACATTTTAAACATGTAACAGTGTTCCATCTTCACCCACTCTGAGGGTTGTAAGGGATGAGGATGTTTCAAAACAGTGCTGGGGATATTTAAAAATACTGCATAAATTACCTCTCTGCTTGTACACCAAATCCTCATTCTTGACTCTGCTTTACATGGCCCCATTATAGATGCAAATCTCAGTGTTTGTATGATCGAAGATAAATGGAAAATGAAGACATGGATGATTACCTGTGTTGTCTTGAAAAATAAAGGAATACTATTAAGATGGATATACAGTGCTAAAAGTATCTTGTTGATATTCCTGTACTTTGAAGTGCATATTTATATCAAAACCAGCACCATCATTTACATGATCTTCCCATGTACCAGTCACACAAGATTTTGGACCAGCCTTCCCATGGCAGAACATACCAGTCAAATTAATGTAGAAACCCTTCTTTTTCATATAATTCTGTTCACAAAAAGCTTTAACCTATACAGAAATTAAATGTTATCTAGAACGCCTGTTTCACACATGCCAAGCACATTTTCAATCTGATGCTGAAATATGCTGCAACACTACATGAAAAAGCATATTACAGCTTTATCTCTTCTTCTTAAAAAGCATGCCAAGTTACACTTAATGGACAACAAAGGATTCAGGAAATAATGTATGTTAAGGAAAGCTGATCAAAACAGTGGTTTGTAATACATTATATTGATATCTTTAAAATTCCATACAATTGGCATATATGACAATCTACCTAGCAGGCTTGAACAATTTCTCTACTTCCCATTTTCATTCAACATATGTTAAAGTTAAAACTAAAGTAGAAGCTACATTACATGTTTACTTAATTAACTCATAAGATACAGAACACTTTGATGACACATGGTACGTATCACTGGAACATCTCCCATTGCTGAAATACAAAACAATTAGTTCAGACATCACTCATTAGCTTTACAACTTAACAACATTTCCATGTTTCACAGTAAAAGCCTGATATAATATGGCTCATTAAATAAAGATCCCATCACATTTCCTAAACAATCGATGAAATACTACAAACATAACCTCATGAGGGAAATTTATCATATCGATACAGAAAATCAAATCAGTTTTAAAGTACCACTCTGGAACACATACTAAATGCAATTATATTCAACACAGCCACCTACATCTCAATTCACTATTAACATAACAAAAATTATGTGACCTAAACAGTGTCAGCATTCTTCAATACTCTACCAATTATTTGAACAAGTACTGCCTTCACAACACAATTGTGGCCAAACATTAGTAGCATGGTTCACTCCTGAGAGGGTAGTAGAAACTTCGTGATTAGCTACATTGTGGGACTCTCACAATGCAAACAAAATAACTTTTAACTTAATAAGAAACTAATTAACGTTTTTTCAGGTCTTGTTCTAGAATTCACCTATAAAGAATGCACATACACTAACAGCAAAATGAAATTAACTTGTAAAAATATAATAAAAAAGGTATCTATTATACCTCAAGATTCAGACTGCTTGTTGGAATTTTTAATGGTGTTATACAATGAACACACAAATTAATCTGATATGAGGCACATATTCTTAAGATCTCTTTAATGTCCATGTTACATCAGACTTTACCTTATATAAATATCACTTAATAAATTCCATATTACAAATATAAGAAGATACCGACCATAAAACAATTTTAGTACCTCACCACACATTTCGTCTTGTAGTTTCATGGTCCACCACATGACTGCAAACAGAATACGGACATACGTAAAATCTTCTTCATGTAATATGCTGTACAAAGTCAAAATTGTATACATCACTAATTACAACACAACAAAATTTAAATTAGTCCAACACACATGAATTATTCCCCCACCCCTTTATATAATTACAATCCAGAACTCTGTTTTATTTTAAAACCCGTGATAACTTTAACAACACACAACTGCAAAAGCCACATACTCTTTATTAATTACTGTAAACTATATGAAGCACACTTTAATGTTGTTATAGTCAAAGTATATAACTTATGTTGGACTAATTGTACAATCAAACCACTGCAGATTTATGTATAATGGGGCAGTTCCCACTTAACACAATAAAATACTGTCAAATTCTGTAAGTTTCAAGAACTGAACATATACAACAAATTTTCGCACCTTAGCCATACTTCACATGGAAGGTAGAACTGCAAGCCTTCCATTACAGTGAAGTCATCCAACAGGCCTGAAAAAATAATTTTAATCTCTCAATAATACAATTTGAAATTAAGAATATTTCATGCAATCATTTTTAGTGTACATCTAGCAAAGTAAGATACCGACCATTATTATCAAGTTACAAGCCAAATTCCTTTCACTTTATTACATCCAAATCATCCCATGTTGAAAGTGCACTGCTACTGCAAGTGCTACAGAATTCCAACGATACCCTCCTCTTGGCAACTTGCAGGCAAACACCAACATCCATGAATGGCTCATCACCTGCTGCAAATCCAGTGACTGGTAAATCAAGGGTGGTAGGCTGAACCGAATAACAATCACAAAATTCAGTATCATAAAGATTTCTATCAGAAGGTGATAGGAGTGTATCATCTAGAATATCATGATGTGGCATTGACAAAGAAAGTGCTACATCATCTTTGATATAAATTTGTTCTTTTTTATCTAAAGTAAATGTTGTGCTGCTTCCATCAACCACATCACTGAAACGTGAACAAATGCTGCTATCACTTCCTGTATGCACATAATTGTGATCTGGAGCTGAATGTGTGTTATTGTTCAGAGTGTGCTTGCTAATGGAGGTAGTTACTGGCAGCCCCGTGTTTTGTATAGACTGTAGCAACATTCTAATCTCCTTGTTGTTTGCTAACACACCCTTCAAGTAAAGAACTTCTTTTCTTAATGAACACACAAGTGAAGACTGACCTTCCAAAGTCTCTTTAAGTTTGGTGTTTTCATCAGAAAGTCGAGCTATTTCACTCTGATGAGATTGCATCATGTAGTTGAGACGATTTATTCGCGTCATTATTGCATTTTTTGAAGAGCATTTTGGAAGCTTCCTTACATGTCCTGATTTTTTAAAATCCAACTTCTCTGTCTTGCGTTCGTTTTCTGACTTCGATATGAAACTCCCGCAACTAACTTCTCCGTGTCCCGATAATTCTGCTGCCCAAACACCAGACAAATGATCGGAACACCTCCACTTGGCCATATTTAAGTACGCCTAAAAATTGAAAAAAAATACGTTAATTTTCGTCGTGAAAAAAGTGTGCTCTCTACTGCCTACCGTCACAATAAGTTACTCACTAACCAAAGTTTACTGAGTTGAAACTGAGTAAACGTATTTTTAAGTATAGTTTTCGTTAAACTCAGAAGGCATACAAAAACAATCCCATTAGATTAACAACTAATGAAGTAATTGTGTGCGTGCTGTTTCAATTACTTGTGCAACTAATTTGTCGTACCCAGACTTATCAACAGATGGCGGAAATTACGAACACCAACAGCAACGTACCAACCAACAGAAACAATAATTACCAGTCTAGACAGTACCAATTGGAAGTAATTTCTTACAAATGCAGTTACAAAAAATGGTTTTGGAGAAATACTTCACAAGGTGTGTATCTTTCTTAAATCAATTATATTGATTTTATTCTTACTTGGACTCCTTGATATGAGGATGGGAGCTGCAGGTATCAAGTAAGGCACAAGACTGTGTTAGGTTATTTAATTGTTTCTGCTTACACTCACTCACTTACCTAAGGAGGGCACAGGGAAGCAAAACTTCATGAAAATAAAACAAATTCTAGTTAATTACAATTAATAACTAACAACAACACACAAAGTTTGTTTTTCAGAGACCTCTCACAGCTTGTGTGATAAGTAGTTAGACACTTGTTAGCATCACCAGTTATATTTTTTAAAATTAATATTAACTTTAACTCTGGCTCTCCCATCAATACCGAGAATAGTCGACCACAAACATTTCTGTACACAATATGTGAATTGCATAGTTAAATGAACAAGCTGATAACTGTGTGCAGTTTATGCACAACTTTTTCTTATTTTTTCTTGTCATTTTATGTTATTATGGTTGCTTGTTTCTTAAGATGCTGAAGGTATTGAAACTAACAATTTAAATTGTTAGTGTAAGTTCTTATTAATTACAAATATTCTCCTACTTTTGACATTTTGATTTGCTTTGCTTTCGAGTAATGTCATTAACTAATCGGGGATTAAACTTCATTTGATGTCATTCCTGTTTATAATATCATGTGGTTTTGAGAATAAAATGCATTCTAGGATTGAATGAAAAAGCAAATTCTTATTGAAATTATTTCAATAAGAATTGCTAGTTGTAGGAATGCATAAATTTAATTAGGGGCTCATATGGTCTTTTCTTTCACATTTTTTACTGGGGGCCTGCTACTTGAATTTAAAATTAATTTGAGATGAGCATCAAAATACATTACTGAATCAGATAATATAGCATTTCTAAATATGGCAATATATGTTATATTACCATTATTCTTAATTCATGTTTCTGTACAGATTGATTAATTACTTGGATACTTTATAGCAAAATTTCAAATACAGAGGTGATATAGAATTGGATTAAATTAAAAACGATTATGCATCATGAAGATGGAAGGAAGAATTTTGATCCCTGTATCCAGAATAGGCCAAGAGTTTAATCCATTATGTTTACAACAATTAAACCTAAAGTCATGCCTCTGCCCAAGGACCAAGACATAAATATGCATGGGGGAGCTGGGGTGAAGCTCAATGCTTCAATGCTACATGGAGATGAGTGGTCAGTTTCACAAACCAGCCAGTTTTTCCCAGTATTCATTGACTTGATAGATGTGTGGATGCAGTGGCAGAGATAAATTCCTTTCTCCTCTCTTACTAGGGGAAGACAGAAGAAGACACACATGAATATGGTCCTGGCGATCCCATGAACCTGTATTTATAATGAAACCAGACTGAAACGAGCAAGGCACAAACCAGTCAGAGCATTCAATTAGACATACTATTACAGACTAAGCAATTTTCTCCATTCCTCATCGATTATGCATGCAGCTGTCACTCCCTTCTGTTCATTGCAATACAGACACAATCTCCAAGTAATAACCCAACACCATTCTCCTTTAACATCACACAGCACATGGCTGGCTACAACTACAAACTTTAACTTAACTTATATACATAGAACATTGTACAGTATTCCACATTCGTCACAACACTGTCAAACTAAACACTTTCTAGACAATTCTAGACAGTAAGCCAAACACAGGCACATACTTTGGCAGCATTGTTGCCTAAATTTGCATAACAAATATTAGAAATGTCTGTCATAAATTTGACAACAATAATGCTTCTCACTTTCCTTTCAAACAGAACACCGGCATAGATTTTTGTGGTCAACCATCTATCTTAAAAGGGTGCATTTATTTTAGTCTCTGGTTCCTTACAAAAACATTTTTTTACATAGTGAGCTTAATAAAGGGACTTCAGGCTACTGACCCTGTGTTTCTTAACCCTGCAAACAGGGACCAAGACTAGGTCCTATTAACAGAACTCTATTCTCAGTGGTGGCATGGGACATAAGACTATGTAAAACAAGACTACTATATGGCTTCTGCTTATATTATCCCATCATCCCATGGTTTGATTTTCTGAACTCATTAACTACATCAAATTAATTCAAATATTTCAAAGCCAAAATCTCAAAAATGTAAATAATTCCATCAGGCATTGGCAAATAAATTAAACTATTTCATTCCAAAGCCATCAAAGTTATATGTCAGTGGGTTTACAACATAATCCCACAGATAAACGAATGCCTGTGGTTGGAATGTGAATACATTTTATGAGGTTAGTAAGATCTGCACTGGACAATGGACCATGCATCAGATGCATCATCCTCCAGAGTTTCACAACATCGCACTCTTGCTGTCACTGTTAACGAACACTAAGGCTTCTGACAATATCAAGAATAATATTTTTTTTTTGAAATGGAGAATAGATGGATGCCTATAAATATTTGTGATCTGTGTCATATGTGAAAATCTGTATGGTAGTCAGTGTTCAATCTGTAATATACTATATTAAATAATTCTTACCCATTTCAAAGCTGTCTCCTTCTCTGAGTTCATGTAGTTTTTGGCAATATCAGTGAAAGATACTTCTGGCATCTTCCAAAAATTGTTAGTGGCTTTTTAACAACACAAAAATTTACTAAATAAGAAGAATTAATTTTATTAAATCTAAACATGGAAATGATTAATTAGTATATGTTTTAAAATGAAAAGCCTCAATTTTTGTTTCACCTTTGAATGCTTCATGAACATTTGCACAATAAGGTCTATGCAGAGTTACATACAATATTTACGAACAGATGTATGAACTGGGTCAGTTAGGCATAATGTCCTTGAAACATTGCAGCTTGGGTGCACAGATAACTGGTAATTGAATGATCTTCAATATGTGGATCCGACACTGACTACAAATTTACGAGTAATCAATTCTCTTAACATTATTAGTCTCTGCATTTCTTTTTGGGTCAGCCTTGTTTCATGTGTCCGGCTTCTTCTCTTCATATCCTCGGACCAGAGTCTCAATAATAAACTTGATAGTTATTTTGTAGATACTTTCTATGTTCTCTGTGTATCGATCGCCAAGAGTCATCTGCACAGCCTCCAGGAATGGTCGCTCGATTCTCTAAAACAATGCAACTCAGTTTATTAATGTGATACTACAATGAAGTACTTTTTCCACTTAAAATATACATGGAGAAAGAAAACACAACATATTCCCATTACAAAAATCAATTGGTCAATTCAGTACAGAGAAATAATCGCTGTAAATATAAACTGTAGGAAAAATGCAGTCATTACCTGTTAAAGCATGAGAAATATACAGTTACCACAGGACTTTAGACGGTTAAAATTTAGTGTACATACAGGCGACATTTCAATTTCTTCAGCATCCTATAAGGATAAATATGTAATGATACAAAATCTGTAAGATTAATAACTCGACTGGAGCCATCACCAAAATACTAAATTGAACACGGCAGTATTAGGAACATAGAACAACAAGGATCAATACAAACACTCCACGTGTAGAAACCAATAAAATACTAAGAATGCATTACAACGACATGATATAATAAATATTAAGACCAATTATACAGAAGTACAATTAATATCAGAAACAGTAAAAAGATGCAGTTGATGCCTAGAGTACAGAATATAGTAAATAACTGTCTATTTACTATGAAAACAGGGTACAAAGCACAAGTACGCCCACTTCTGAAACAATACTGGGATGAATTTGTAACACGAGCTTCCATTCTGCTAGTGCCTTACGCTGCGGCAACTTCTCTGACACTACCGTCCGGCTTGTAGTCTAAACAACGCTATGCAGGCGGACAGTCCGTTTTCATACGTGCTTTGCTCTTAAGCAATAAATTACAAAATGTACGCGCGACCTGCACATTATAATTCAACATTTGGATAACAATTGCATGAACAAG